GCTCCAGCTCTGGAGGTTCTTGTAGTTCCAGTAGTGTTGCAAGAAAAGAGGCTTCGCCCATCCCTGCCCAACTCACAGAGCCCACTGGAAGAATGGCATTGGCTGACTGGCTTGGAAACAAAATGGCCGCTCTGCCACAATGCTGGAATTTTGTGCCAGCATGTTTCTCATGCCGTAGAATCCCCTCAGCAACCAGCTGCAGCCTTGACATGACCGGATTGAGGCAAGTTATCCCCACCCTCCTGGCATCCATATGGGGACCCTGCCTGCTTGATAGCAATTGTCCCAGAATACAATGGCTCTTCTGGGCTCAGATTTCATCCCAAAATGAGGTGTTTGCAAAATTAGGGGCCAGGAGTGCTTCCCCAAAAGGTGGGAGAATTGGAGTAGATGAGATGCAGGCTCCTTTTCACCTGAAAATTAAAACTAGAGTTTCACTCACCATGTTCACAGCAACAAAACAACACAGCAGCTGCTTTGTTTCTTTACTTTGCATGCATTCCCTTGGAAGAAGCTGCTTATTTCTCACCTGAGTTTAAGTGGCCACAATCTCCGGCATAAGCATCCTTGACTTAAACACCAGCAGTAAGAGCCTCACAGGCTCCAAAATATTCTTTATGACCACTTTCTCTAGACCAAGATTGAAGGTGGAGGGATAACTAGGAAGACTGCCAAGCCCTCCAGAGAGTATCTGAACAGAGGGAGCTCCAGCTTCCATGGGAAGCCTCAGGGGAAGGGAGAACTAGGGAAGAAAGGGTCATTTTTTTACTTTTTCCCCACCTCCTTCTGGAACTCTGCAACTCGGGAGGAGAGAAATATAGTTTTTGAGTTTCCCAGGAAACTGTCTTCTTCCTTAAGTACCTGGAAGGATCCCTGCCATGCCAGGAGAGTTTTCTGCCAAAAGCAGCACAAACCCATATACTACTCTTGCCCCTTTTGCACCTAACATATCTTAATCAGATACTGAAATGGTGCCAGTTTACTTTTGCCCAACCTTTGGCAACCAGGTGAGATAAGGAAACCTCGTGTTTGGGTGGCCATAGCAAGACACACAATGCTGGACTAAGATGGACTCAGACTGGACACTGTGTTATTCTTTACAGTTTTATTCTTGTGGATAAAATGAGCCTTCCATAGGCTTCCATTGGAACAGAATGCAAAAGTCCCCGCCTGGCTATAGCTCTAGGAAGTCACCCCTGGGGCTTCTGCTCCCTGCTGCCTGATAGTCCACCACAGCTCGGAAGCCCTTCTGTTGCTGTACAGAAGGCAGATTAACAGAATAACAGAAAGGGACCTTGGAGGTCCTCTAGTCCAACCCTTTACTCAAGCTGGAGACCATCTATCATTCCAGAAAAATAGCTGTCCAGTCTCTTCTTGAAAACCATCAGTGATAGAGCAGAGGGACCTTCTGGGGCCAGGCCTCCCTAGGCCTGCAGCAGCCACACCTGGGCATTGATCAAGGACTATACATCCTTTGAGTGAGACCATGTGGGAGGATGTCCCAGTTCTCCATTGAAGAAAACAATTTGCTTTTGAAGATGAGCCTGTAACGTGGTAGCCATAGGAAGGGGAGATGCATTCTCCAGCTGGATGATCCAAGCTGGCTTCAACTGCAAAAGATCCAGAACCACCAGCCAGGAACAAGCAGCCAAAGTGACCCCCCCCCCTTCCATTTGCACTTTCTTGTGACCTTGAAGGACACTGTCCCCAAGTCTCAACAAGACACCCTTCATCATCTTCCAGCCCCTCATCAAAACCAAGATTCTCTCTTCAGGACATTTATCCCCTGAGGGAGACCTCCAAACTAGATAGATCTCCTGGAAAAGCTGCATTTCGTCCCCTTGTAGCAATAGGACCCCTTTAAAGGAGGGGAAGTCATGGGCAACACATCTAGATGCACCACAGACCTCCAGACAGGGGGACCAAGGACTCCAAAGGGGGCTTCCCTTCACTCACTGGGTTCAAAGGGAAGCCAGAAGGCCATCTGGAGAAAGCATGGGCTGGTTTGGGTTCCTACAATAAAACCGAGGATTCACATGCCTTGCCTGCCACTCCATTTCCTGGGATGGGGCCAGGAAAGGAGAGAAGGGGGCATTTCTTTTTTGCACCCAATTCCAGCAACAAAAGCACTCCGGGCATTATCCCAATTCCAGCCTGCCAGCTCCCACATGAAAGCCCATGGACAGTTCAAGCACTAGCTGGTTCCCTCGGATCCTCTGCCACATTATATGCTCCTTGTGCCCTGGAGCTGATCCCCCCCCCCCGCCCAAAACTGACCAAATTGGCCATGTGAAAAAAAAATGTAAAAATCACACGTGGTGGCTGCAGAGAAGGGAGAGGGGGAATCGTTTGTATTTCTCAATTTTCCGAATCCCACTTTTTTTTAAAAAAACCATTTATTTAATCATCTGCCACCTTCTAGAGTCAGCTCCATCACAGTCACCAAAAGCTACAGGGAAGCACTTGCTCAGTGCTGATAGTTGGGGAAACTCTTGTTCTGTTAGGTGCCCGACGAGGACTTGATCCAGGTCTGCCGGGGAGCAAGAGTGCGACTGAGGAAGAGAGGAGGGCCGCTTCAGAGGGGAGTCCACCAGCCAGGAAAAAAAAAGGGAGAGGGACCCCACAGGTGGTCCCGCTTCCTCCCCATCTGGGAAGAGGCTCCTGCAGCAAGAGGGCGGGGGGGGAGGCGGGAAACGGAGGGCTCCCACACCTTTCTCAGGGAGAGAAACCCGGCGCGGTTGCCAAAAGCCAAGAGCGGCGGCGTTCCCGAAGCAGCTCCGAGCGGCCCGGCTCATTAGAGACGCATCTCGCTTGGCTGAGGTCCCGCGCCTTCCAGCTCATTAGAAAAATGCCGTTGCTGCTGGCTGCACCCCAATCATCTCTGCAATCAGCGCCTGTAATTAGGTTAATTAAATTGTATCAACCTCGCAGGGACACCGTTCCCAGATGCTGACGAGCAGCCAAACCGGCCCCTGCTCCGGCTGCCGCCGCCCTTCCCTCTGCTCACCGGCGGGCTCCTGCCAGCCCCCGGAGATGCCTGGGGAGGGGGCTTCTGCCCTGGGGGCCCGCGGTTTAAGCAGCTGCTGGGAAGAAGAGCAGCTCGCGGCTCCGAGGCTGCCCGGGACGGGTTCCGCTTCTCCGTGCCCCGAGGCCGGGCTCCCACGAGGAGCCGCAGCTACTGGCGTCCCGCCCGGCGCGCGGTTCTGGGAAGCCTCCCATGGCCGGTGTGGGGCTCCAAGGCGATGGGCTGTCCGGGGCGGGCGCCGCTCGCTTCCTGGCGGGGAGACAACCCGCTCCCCGAATTCCGGCTGGGAAACGAGCGGGGAGGCCACGCTGCCTCTCCTGCCCCGGCAATAGGCTGCACCCCCAGCCATTTCCCCATCTCCCTCCGTTTCTCGCCGAGCGTGGAGAGAAACCGCCGTTTTTCCTAGGTGGTCCTTGACCATTTGGCCGCCTGCAGTTTCAGCTTTGCCATCCCCAAGCTGAACTGCAGTCAGAAGCCTCCGCCTAGTCCTGTCCTGGCTGTATTCTAGATTTGTGTAAAAGTGTGACACAAATAAATAAAGATCCAATTTTATTTCCAACCTTTGGAATGATGTCCATTACAGAATTTGCTTTTTTCACAACTCCTGCAACTGAACTAATCAGTTAGTTTTCAGTTTTTGATCCTCCCTGAGTGTCATTTCATGTTTTATTAGAATTTCATCCCAGCTTTTTCAGGTAGAGGGGGTGTCACCTTCTCCTGGTTTCTTTTTTTTTTTTAAACAAAACTTTATTATTAAAAAAAACATTTAAAACATACAAGTTTCTCTCAATCAAGAAACAAATTTACATATACAGTGCATAAACTTCACCTATTGACTAATTTCCATTATTCTATATACATATATTATGTGTATTATATGTACATATATACAAACATACAGTAAGATATTCCATATTCTATCCCTCTGCCTTCTCCTGGTTTCAAGGCATCATCTGAGGTGCCAGCCAGCCCATTGTGAGGTTTCACTGCAGCTCTTTGCAACTGCTTTTGAGCTCACTGTCCCGAATCATCAGCTCCTTATGGGCTTGCAAGACAACCCTCCAACTCTTCCCCTTCCAGCGGGAACATTTCCCAACGCCCAACAGCCACAGGAAAACAGAAATGGAGAAACTGTAAGCTGGTCAGAATGCTGCCTCTCTGCTCACACAAAACCCTCTCTTGGCCCCTCACCTACCCTAGGAGGACTGGCATCGTACCAGGAACCACAAATTACCCAGCTACCTGTTAGCCTTGCACACTGCAACAAACCACCAGATTGTCTCTCTCCCATCATCACAGCTGTTATCTTTTAGGAACAGATACTTTGGGGAGGGTAGGGGGGGCAGCAGGATAAACCAACCAGATTACCTCCAGTGAATCTGCTTGGAGAAGTCTAATAAGCCCCCACCCCCCACCCAAAGCCCATTCTAGTTAGCCCTGAAATCCAACCACAGCTGTCAAGCTCCCAGCCAGCCTTCCGTGAAACAGCACTGCCACCTGCTGGGCATCCATTCACAATACCGACCTTGACATTGGAGAGCACACCTGTACGCAGCAACTCCCCTCTCTCACGCTGAAGCCTCCAGGGCACGTAAGCCCAGGCACAGCACCAAATTCTACAACAGGCAGAAGTGCCCCACAAGCTCCACCTTTTTTATACTTGCATCACAACCCTGGAATGCACATTTTATCCCTCCATTTCTGCAAGTCCCTTTCCTCCCTCAGGAGCTATGAGAACCCGAGCCAGGTGGGAAGCTGTCAAAGCCCAGCCTGGCCCATCTGCTCCCCACCTTCAGAGCCTTTCAGGAAGGCAAGAGGCAGCTTGCCCCAGTGCTTACCTTCCCCTTCCATCCGACCTGGGAAGGAGGGGGGGGGTTCAGAGGCTTCTTTCTTCCTGGTCATTCTGTCTCAGAAGGGGAAAGAATGGGACAAGCGCCTGGATGGGCAGGATGGAAAGAGCAGCAACACACTCACAACCGTTCTTATCGGGTTTATTGAACAGGTACCAGGTAAAGCTAAGGCAGAGAAAGAAGCATTTGTAGGGTTTGCAAGACAATCAAGAGAGGAGATCCCTCTTCACAGAAGAGTCAACGCTTCCGTCTAAACTGGAACTTATAAATTGCTGGCTGATTTACGGTTTCCTTCTTCAGCTTCACTCTCTCGGTTTTGTCCTGAAATCAAGAAGAAAAGTTTCCCTAAGCAACGTGGTCTGCCAAGAGTGTTTCCAGAAAGGCCCCAATAGCTTCCCCACAGGAAAAAAGCACAGGGCCTTCAAGCTGAGCTGGTGGCCAGAGGCATCCCTGAAGGACAAGCTGCCACAAAGGAAGAGAAGGAAGGTCCCGTTGCCTGCAAGGGAGAGCAGAGGCCGCCTCCTGCAGCGCCCAATAAGGAGCTCTGCTCACCAAGAGATCCTTTCGGGTCTGGAGCTTCTGTGCGATGACAAACATCTTCCGTTCACGCTCGATGCGCTGCCTCAACAGGCTGTACTGACCCTTCCTCTGCCGAGCCAACCTCTGGAGATGGAGAAGAGAGAGGCCGTTTTTCCACCCAGGTGCTCTCAAAGTGACACAATCTTCAGAGCGTTCCCTGAGGCTGGGCAGGACTGCCCTCGCACCCAAGCCGTCCCTGCAAAGGCCTTCTGCAACCAGCCCTCCAATTGTGCCAGTCTGCAGGAAAAGAAGGCTGGGGCAGGACCGCCTAACGGAAGAGCTCTGAGGCTGCAGCCAAGGGACGCTGCTCTGGCTTTGCAGGAGAACCAGAGGGGGGAGGGGCCGGGCTCACCCCAGCAACCGGGCTGTCCACTCCTGCTGCACCCGTGCCTCAGCCCAAGCATTCCTGAGCACAACCCATCATGGCAGGTGTGAGCTAATTAGCACCATCACTCAGGACAGATCCAAACTTGTTCCCCCGTAGATGACGATGACTCAAGTCTCCCGGGAGAGAAGAAAACCCACCAGTCTAAACTAGTCTGGGGACGTCAGCAATAAGACAGCCAGAGGGAGGGGGACCTTATCATCATCTGTTGAATTTCCCTCCCCCTCAGTGGTTGTACGCAACCTTCGCATGTCGCCACACCGTATCTCCCTTCGGGTCCTACCCAGCCCAAAGGCAGCCTGGTGCAACTCCATTGCAACCTCTGGAGCTAAGTTCCCTCCCCTCCAGCTCTACAGGAGACCAAGTGAACAGCAACAACCCCAGACGCAGCGGAAGCAGCTGCATTCAGCCGTGAGAGAGGCTTCCCTGGCAGATTAGCCTGAAATCCACAACAGGAGGGAGAATATTTTCAGTCTTCTGTAGCTCAGCTGTTCACGCCAGCTGCCATGCTAACTGGCTTCTGCCAATGGAGCGATAAGAGGCCACCATTTAAAAATTAAATCTGGCAACGGTCCCGTTCGCCTGCCACAAGCTCATTGAAAAGGGTGAACGGCCATTTTCCATCGCCTCCCAGCTGCCACCTAAGACACTGGAGTCACTCACTTCCTTCTGAAGCATGTTTTATGAACAACAAAATAGTCAGAGTCTAAGTAGGACTGTCAACACTGTGGAGATCGAGTGGACTTTGTCCATCCTGACCTCTTCCTATATGTTGCCCCATCCAGGAGGAAGGGGTTGAAAGCACACTAGGAAGAGCATAAACCTTTTCCAATAGAAGGAAGGCGAGTAGCCATTCAGTTCTGGCACACACAACCGAGGCACCCTGTCCACTCCAACAACTTCGAGTATCTGTACAAATTTGCTCCTCCTCCCACCCCTGGATGCAAACTGAGCCCAAGAGAAGACTCTAGGAAGCAGAGAAGCTTTAGCAAATCAGACCTGTAACTGTCCATCAGTGGTGATCCCGGAAACTGCGTTTTTCTTCAGGGTTTCAAGGGTTGGCCTGTTGTAGACTCTGCTGACCAGCTCCGGAGCAGTGTTCAGATGGAGAGCAACATCAAACTCTTGCACTGAGAAAAGGACAGGTTGGTTTCTCATAATTAGTTGGACCCTCCTCACTGACTCCCAGCTTACAAACCAATTGAGGCCAGCCTTAGGTTTACAAAGGAAATGTGCTGCATGAAGGGGAAAAGGCCAAATAACCAGCCAGGGATACTACTTAATTTAGAAGAGCTGCAACAGAGGGAGGGAAGAAGCTGGTTGCATTCTTCCTTCGGCGGTGGGGGTCCCCTCTCTTCTTAAAGAGGCTCACCACCTCAAGAAGCCATTATTCTGGACACATTTTTGCTGATATCAAAGTCTTGGAAGTTTCACCAATCTATTCTAAGTGAATTGCAATTCAGCCAAATTAAAAAACTTGATAGTTCTGAGTTTTGGCTGAGACAAAAGGGTAAATACAGTAGGTAAATACAAAAGGGTAAATAAAAAGTCCACACACTCCTGTTAAATGCCAGAATTTTTAAGATGAAAAAAATTAGACCGAGATAAATCACTTCAGAATTTTTTTCCACCTTTAATATAACATATAAGCTGTGCAGTTCAATTGAAAAAAACAAATCTTTTAGGAGGAAAAATAACAATAAAAAGATACAACAATGTGGTTGCTTAAGTGTGCACAGCCTCTTGTAAGTAGGGATTTGGCTGTGTTCAGAATTAACCAAACATGTTCAAATTTATGGTAAATAGTACACATCTATCAATAGTGACTCTGATCAAACCCATATAAAGTTAGCTGTTCTTGCAGGATTTTTCTGACATTTACTCAATTGCCTCCTAGTAAAAGCCATGATCTGCAAAGAGTTTAAACAGCATCAAAGGGATCTCGTTATTGTAAGGTATCAGTCAGGAGAATGGTACAAAACAGTGTCCAAGGCATTGGATATACTCTGGGACTCAGTGAAGACAGTCATCAACAAGTGGAGAAAATGTAGCATAACAGTGACATTACTAAGAACTGGATTTTCCTCAAAAATTGATTTTTAAAAATGAAGAAAATTGATCCAACATACAGCAACATTAAAGGAGATGCAGGAATTTCTGGCAAGTACTGATTATTTACTATATGTGACAACAATCCCCTGTATTTTTCATACATCTGTGATGTGGAGTTGGGTGGCAAGACAGCTTTTTCTAACAAAGAAAAACATCCAAGCCCAGCAAGATTTTGCAAAAAACTACATCAAGCCTGAGAAAAGCATGTGGGAAAATGTGTTATGTTCTGATGAGACAAGTTGAACTTTTTGGCCATAACTCCAAAACATATATTTGATGCAAAAACAATACTGTGAATCATCAGACGTATATCCACAGCGAAGCATGGCTGGTGGCACCATTATGCTTTGGGGCTGCTTTTCTTCAGCTGGAAGTGGGACTTCAGTCAAGCGCAAGGAAAGAACAATTTCAAACCTCTGCTTAAATGCTGAAGATGAAGAGGAATTTCACCGTTCAACGCGATGACCAAAAGCATATCTCCAAATCAACAAAAGAACGGCTTTACCAGAAGATCAAAGTTTTGAAATGGCTCAGCTGGAGTCCAGACCCGAATCCAATTAAAAATGTGTGGGGTGACTGAGAAGGACTGTGCACAGGAGATTCCCTCACAATCTGTCATTCGCACATCTGCACTTTTGCAAGGAAGTGGGCAAAGATTCCCAGGGCAAGATGTACCATGCTAATAAGCTCCTACCCCAAAAGACTGAATGCTGTCATAAAATCAAAAGGTACTTCAACAAAATATTAGTTTAAGGGTTTTATACATTTTTTCTTCCTAAAATATTTGTTTTTCAATTGAACTGCACAGCTTATACCAGTGATGCCTAACCTTTTTGCCAGGGGGAGTGCAAGAGGGGTGCGCCCACACGTGCCCACACCCATAATTCCGTGTGCCCCCCCCACATGCACGCACGACACCCCTGCGCTCCCCCCGCTTTTGGCATGCGATGGCATGGTGGGCCCAGTAGGCCCGTTTTTCACCCTCCCCAGGCTCCAGAGCCTTTCTAGGAGCCCGGGGAGGGCGAAAACGGCCTTCCCCACCCGCCTGGAGGCCCTCCGGGGGGCAGAAATAGCCTGTTTCCTGACTTCCATTGGGCCTGGAAGGCCTGAAAATCAGCTGGCCGGCGCTGAGCTAGGGCAACACTCACGTGCCCATCGATATGGCTCTGCGTGCCACTTGTGGCACACGTGCCATAGGTTTACCATCACAGGCTTATACGTTATGTTAAAGGCAGAAAAAAAATCTGAAGTGAACTATCTTAGTCTAATGTTTTTACATCTCAAAAAACTGACGTTTTAACAGGGATATACTGACTCTTTATATCCATTTTATTTGCCCTTTTGTCTCAGTCAAAACTCAGAACTAACAAGTTTTTCAATTTGGCTGAATTACCACTCATCTAGAACATATTGGTGAAATTTCCAAGATTTAAGATATTTGTCTCATAGCAAAACCACACACTTTTCCCCTTTTGTGTACATCTCTAGTTTTCACTTCAGCTAGTCTTTATAATAATTAGTATTGGATTTGGAGTTGTTTTTTTCCTCCCCACCACTTTTCCATTTTTCTTTGTTATATCATTTTAGATTGCAAGCTCAAGAACAGGAACCATCATATTGATATTTGCAAATCACTCTGTGCGAGTTGGAGATTAGAATAAAAAAATGTTAAGATAAATTATGATTTGTTACAATTCAGTCACCTGTTGCTGACGGTCTCACTTCTGCTAAATGGGAATCATTTCACAGAAAAGGGTTGTTTTATTTTTAAGCAGCACCAACAAAGCAATCCTCCTCCCTTTCATTCAGTGATCTACCAGAAAGTCAAAGTCTAACTAGGGCAGGCTTCTCTGCCACCTTGATTTTCCATACCCAGTCAGTGGCAGTCCCACCACCCGTTTACCTTCCTTCTTGGTGTCAAAAAAGAACAGGTGCTTATTTGGCTGTTTTCCCTCTGCTTCCAGTAGGTGGAGCTCCGACTTCAGCTGCTCGATTTTCTGCTCGATTAAAAAGATGCAGGCACAGAATCAAAAAGATGCAGCCACAGAATCGAGAACTGAAGACTTGGTCAGCTGCCACCTCCCCCCCCCTCCCCCAGCACAATTCTGAGGTCAGGCAACAGTTGTCGACTGGCGACCCCCAGGTGCCCCCACAGCCTTCTCTGTGGGGGCACCTGCTCTCTGGAATGAGCTGCCCCCAGAGATACGTATGATCCCCGACCTATGTACCTTTCGCCGTGCCCTTAAGATTTTACTGTTTCAACAGGCTGGGCTGGCTTAAATAACGATTTTAATGGGTGTTTTAGTTTCTTAGGTTTTAATATAAGGGCCAAATCATTGAATATGTTTTAAACTGTTTTTAAATTTTATGGAGATATGTTGTTTTATTGTGGCTGTGCACCACCCTGAGTCCCTCGGGAGAAGGGCGATATAAAAATTTAAATAATTAATTAATTAATTAATTAATTAATAACAGTTCCCTCCCCCACCCCCCAAAAAGGCACCCAACCTCCATCTCCCACATTGCTAGGACAGGGTTTTGGAGGCCTGCTAGATCCACTGGGGTCCAAGCAAGCCTAATCTCTGGAAAGGAGCCCGGTGCTATAAGCTCCTTGTGGGTTTCCTCCAACAAGGAGAGCGCGGCACGGCCTGAAGACCTTACCAGCACCCGGGGAAGGGGGAGTCAAGGGTTCCCTCTCCCTAATGACAGCGGCAAACTAGAGATATTTGGGTGTCAGGTGGGAGGGACAGCAACCTCAGCATGTCCAAGGGGTCAGGACGAGGAAGGGGACCCAAAGGTGCTTTTTCAAAGAGGCAACTGGGCTTTCTGGACCAGAAAGTCCAGTTGCCTCTTGAAAAAAGCACCTTTGGGGCAACCATGACCTGGGATGACTGAGAATCATCTCCACAGCCATCGACCAGGAGGGGAATCTTCTGACCTTGACCTCAGCTGCTCGCTTCATCTCCACGTACTTCAGATCCTGGGTCTTCAGCAGCTTCTGCTGCTCAGGCGTGGATTCTGCTTCCTGCTGGCTGATCACATGCACCCCGTCCTGCGGGCAACGCAAGTAGCGTCAGGCTCCAAGAAGAAGGAGGGCCGCCCGTCAAGGCAGGGAACGGGCACCGAGGCCCCCACTTTGGAGCCACTGTTGTGCAAACCCAGCCGGGAGGCCCGCAGGGAAATGGGGAAGGGAAAGCAGGCAGGCCTGGGAGGAAGAGGCCGAGTGACAGGGCCACCCAGCCACAGCCCCGCCGGACCCACCTGCAGCGGCGTGCGGGTCATCCGGAAGTAGAACTCATCGGGGTTCTTCTCCTGCGCCCGGCGGCGCAGCGCCTGCAACGCATCTCGCTTCTTGTGGAAGTCGCTGTGGGGAAAAGAGAAAATAAATAAACAAAATAAATAAATAAATAAATAAAAATTAAGGGACGTGCATAAGAGCACCAGCCTACCATCTGTGTCCCTAATGTTCCCTTTAATTTTATACATTTTATGTATTCAATTCATGCTTATACTTATATATATTATCTAATACAGGGGTGGGCAACTGTGGCCCTTTTACAATCTGTGGACTTCAGCTCCCAGAATTCCTGAGACAGCCAAGCTGTCTCAGGAATTCTGGGAGTGAAGTCCACAGATTGTTAAAGGGCCACAGTTGCCCACCCCTGATCTAATACCTACTCGACAAAATAAATAAATAAAATAAAATAAATAAAGGCGCTCCCGCCCCCCCCCCCGCCCCTCCCCCCAGAGGCCCTTCCACTCACGCGGCGCGCAGCCGGTAATCCGCCTTCTTCTCCAGCAGCCCCAGGGACTTCCGCGAGGAGAGCTGAAGGGAAACACGCAGTCAGGGTTGGGGGGGAAGGGAAGAGGGCCCCGCCCGCGGCCTTCCGACTCCCTCCCCCCGCCCCCCCCCCCGCGCCGGCCCGGAGCCCACCTGGCCCCGCTCGAGGTGCTGCCGCTGCCGCGACTTGGCCGCCTTCGTGAACGCCGCCATGTCCCCCACTTCCGCCGAAGGACCCGCCCCTTCCGCTTGGCGCAGACCCGGTAGGCGAGGCCCGGGTCGGTCGGTCGGTCGCTCCGCCTACCGGCCAGGGCTCCCTCGCGCGCCCCCAACCTGTTCGGCGGGGGAACGCCTCTGGCTCCGGAAGCCCCGCCCTCCACGCGGGGCGGGGGCAGCGGCGGCCCCGCCCCCGCGCTTCCAAGCCCCGCCTTCGGGGAGGCAAGGCGGGCGGCGCGCGTGGCTGCTCGGATTCGGCGGGCTGCCTCCCACCGGCCCCGTGGCGCCCCGGACCGCTGCCGGTAAGGGCGGGCGGGCGGGCGGGCGAGGCTGTTCCCGGCGGCTGCCGAAGCGGGCTGGGCGGGCGGGCGACCGGGGTGCGGTGCGGGGGGGAAGCCGCCCCTTCGTCCCTTTGTTTGGGGCTTCCCCTCCCGGAGAGGCGCGGGGCAGCTGGCGGGGGCGCTCGGGAGGGTCGGTCGGCGGGGGCGGAAAGTGGGGAGGGGGAGGCGGCCCCGAGGGTCTCTTCGGGCGGGGCGGGGGCTCCTTCGCCTGGGACCCCAGCAGCCTCGACGGCTTTGGAGGGGAGCGGAGCACGGCCGCTGCTCTGCCCGAGGTCTCCGGGGGCGGGTGGGGGTCGGCAAGGGCCGCTCTGCCCTCGGGGCTCCCACTTTAAACTCCGGAGACTCAAAGGAAACGGCCGCTGCCGGGGCAGAGCGGGGGAAGCCCCCCCCTCAGCGAGGGACCCTGTCCCACCGGCCCCGCAAGGCTGATCCGAGCCTTCCTGGAAGCGGCGGGTGCCAAGGGCCGGCAGGGCTGCTTCCCGACTTTCGCTCCGGAGCTGTGGCAGAGGTGGCACAAGTTGGGGACCGTCGCGAGGCTCTGGGCTGGGGCGGCTGCTTCGTTGTTCCACCCCGCTGCCCGCAATCCCGCCGTCTCTTCGCATCTCCTGGACCTCTAAGCCTCCCCCCCCCCCCCCCCCGTCCGGTTTGGCTTCTTTCTTCTTCATTCCGCTGGAAAACTGCAGCCGAAACTGGCAGGAGCGAGTGCCCAGGCAGCCCCCGTCCTCTCTGCAAAAGGCGCTCCGCTGCTCTGCACTGATAGCATCGAGGGGGAGACTTCCTGATCAAGGAGAAGGGGGGACTAAAAGGTTGAGCCCTCAAAGAACGGGGCCCATCTTCTCCTGGAGATGCCCACTTGGCATCTGACCAGGCGAGGCATCGGGCTGCCCGTTCCTAAAGTGGCTCCTGGAGTCCCAGCCATGGGAGCTGCTGTTGCCTCGGCAAAGAGCAGCAGTTCTGTGAAGAGATAATGGGGAGGGGGGTCATTTTCATTTGTGTGAATGAAACGTTCAGGCTAGGAGAAAAAAGCAAAGTGGGATTACAATACTTGACCCCCAAAGCATTTGCATGGTGTTTTTGTGCTGTGATGTGTTGAGTGTGTTAAGATCCTGACCAAGGTCCCCCTCTAGGATGTGGTTTTGGCAGTGGCTTTTCATTGGGAAGCAGGGGGATTTTAGTGGAAGACTTCACTTCCAGGAACCAGCTGTTGCTCGGAGGATGGAGATGTTCTTGTTAATGGCTGCTGTGCCATTAAACTGGCTGGGTCAGCATAAACTCGGTGCCAGTAATATCAACCCATGATGACAGGAGACTATTTGATTGCCTCCCACCACCTGCTTTCTACATGGAGTGGTATTTGCAGGATTGACATAGAATACAGTTTGGTGACCAGAATCGGCCTTCAAAGGGCTCTCAGTAGATTTGATACTGGGCCCTCTTCAATAATATACAGTCCAGTGGTGAGAAATGTGGCATCCTGCACTTAAATAGGGAAAACTGGATGCAAGTAAGGCACACTTGGCTCACCAATTGTGTGTGTGTGCAAAGACCTGGGTGTCCTAGGAGACCCACAGATTAAACCAGCAGTGCATCCACTGTAAGCTTGGGATGCATTAACAGAGGGTTGAAGGAGTAGCTCTACTCTATGTTGAACTGGTCAGGCAGCACGAGGAAGAGTTCTGGCCGCTGCAATACCAGATACGGCCTTTCTGTATATTGAATAATTTGTGACTACTGAACAAATACTTTGTTCTCACAACACACTGGATTCCAGTGTCTCTGGCAGCTGGGGGTGCCTGGAGGAGATTCCATGTGTGGTAGGGGCCAATCAGCTTAGCTGCTGGCAGAACTTTGGCTCTCAGGTATATCTGCTGTTTTCTGTACAGTCTGACCTGTTTCCCTGGGAAAGGCTTGAGTCCTTTCACAGGCCAGGACCTAATTGCCTAATTGAAAACTGATCTACCCATATGCACATTAGCAAAATGAGTAATTTGCCTCCTGCCCGCTTGGTCTATTTATTTCAGAGTACCCAGTTCTACAACCCCATGCAATGTACCCTAAATGATGTACCCTGATGCCTGGGGAAAGATTGGGGATTTCAGAGTTCTTTCCAGTGCAGCCAGAGTGGGAGCCAATCATATTTGGGGTGAGGGCTCTAGTGGCCCATTGCCTTGTACTTTTGCTGCGGCTGCAAAATAGGAGCTGCCAGGGCTGCTGAACTGTCTGACCAAAGAAAAGGGTGGCTAAGTAAAGCTGGCTGGGAATTGGAGTGCAGCATCTATTAAATCAGATCTCTGCTATTCCTGGAGCAGCAGGCTCTTTCTATGGGGCCACGCTGCATTCCGTAGGGGATTCATCCCTAGGAACGGTGCCAAGGAGCAGCTAGCCTGGAGACGGACTTGGCTGCGAGGCACTGCTAAGACTAACAGCCTCTGGTTGCTGGCTTTCAAAGCAGAAAAGCCAGCTCAAGCCCACAGCCTCCTTCATGGCCTCTTTAGCATCTTGAGATGCCTTCCACCCACCTCCCCATTCTCTGGCAGCTCAAAGCCTGGTCTTTCCAAACCTGAAGCATGGGACTGTGGTGCGGGTACAAGTACCATATTTTTCAGAGTATAAGACGCACCTTAGTTTTTGGGGAGGAAAATAAGAAAAAAGCTGATTGACGGGTGGATCGGTCTCCAATCAGCTGTTCCCAGGGGTGAATTTTAGCAACAGGTTCCTTGGTTGTGAGCTCTGTGCCTTGCTTTTTTTTCTGCCTCTGAAACTTCTGAAACTGTTTCAGAAAAAACTTTTTTTCCCCTGAAGCTCTGTTTGGAGGCTTTTTTTCTGAAGCTTCATTTCTGGGGCTTTTTTCAGCCTCTGAAACCTGGGCGGGGCTACGTTTGGAGTATAAGACACATCCAGATTTTCACCCTCTTTTTGTGGTGGGGGGAAAGGTCTGTTTTATACTCTGAAAAATACGGTATTCCTTTATGATACTCTCTGGCCTGCTCGGTGCTTAGGATGAAGACTGGTCCACTTTTTTTCTGCTGCTGCTGCAGCAGCAGCAGCAAAGATTTTCTTTGCTGAGAGTTGGCTTCAGAAAAATGTCCTTGCTCTGCTTCTGGTATTCAAAGGGCCATGTCCTTCCAGCTGGGGGCAGAAGAAGTAGGGACAGATATTTTCCTAGATTCCCCTCGGGGGATGAGGTTGCAAAATCTCCCACAGTGTTTGGGTCAGTGACTCTGGAGGTGTGAATCATGGTCTCCCTTCTGTTTCTACATGGGCCTCATGCCAAGGGACCTGAAAATGGCTCTTGAGGTCCAGGCTGAATTGCAGGGCCATGCAAATGGATGGGCTGGTCTTTCCCCTCCCTCTCTGTTTCCTTTGGTGCAAAGGCCATCTGAACTCTCACATATCTTGGGTTACATCATAAAGCAATAGGAAATTGTGGTGTGATTCTAGGAGATGGGGTCCGGGAGCAACCCATCAATCCTTTCTCCAGACACTCCCCTCAATCCCGAGGCACACGGTCTTTCAAAACCTGGATTTGCAACAGCAGTAACCATCGACTTCTTGTTTAAAAAGTTATCTTGCATTTATCCTACGCTTGTTTGCCAACCAGGTCTAAACCAAGATCCATGCAGTCTTCCATGAATCACCCAATGAAGCAGAGAGTTTACATCAGATGACCAGCGACCGAATGGGCAGGCTTGACAGAGGTACAGAAATGTCCTCTGAGCTTGGAGCTTCTCCCACCCAGACGGAGCCCCTGAGGTTGCAACCTGGGTGGCAGAGACAGGCGGCCTCTCCAGAGCCCCTTCTTTTCAGCCTTCTGGGGGTTGGGATCCCTGTTGAGCTGCTGAAGAAGCCACTGTATCCACCAGCTCACCCCCAGCCTTGGGCAGGTTGACTCAATGGTCTGGAATGTTCTCTTTCCAGATCTTTCCACCCCATCTCCCCCACCGCCAGCGCGCCTTCCCAGAGAAACCACCTCTTTTGTTGTCAGATGAAGCCATTCCCTCCAAGATTTGGAGAGATTCCCACGCAGAAGCCGAGCTCTTGCTCAGAGAGCCTTGGCCCAAGGCTGTGTGGCTTTGCTTTCGCAATGTGGCTTCCCTTTTCTCCCTTCCTCCCAGCTGTCGATTCATTTCACAATCTCACGGAGGCCAGTGTGAGTCTTAAGCTCTGGAAGGCAGCTCCCTGCATCTTCTGCCAGGCTCTGGTTCCCAGGTGGGGAGTGGGGCTCTGGGCTTGCTTTGTGCTGTATCTGCTGCCCTCCTGGGCGCCAGGCTCTGCCGGGCCTTGGGAAGCCTCCTGGGCTTGATCCCCACCAGGGGTGTGCGAATAGCTCAGGCAAAGGGAGAGCATCTTGGCGGTCTTGGCTGTGCCAGGGATCCACGTCAGCTGTCCCACGAGAGTGTTGGGAATGTGCTCTTTCTCCTTTTCCTTTTGCAGCACTGGATTTCCCAAAGGTCCCTGGCTGGGCAACATGAAAAGGAGAAAAAAAAACCTGATTTAAGTCATGCTGCATTTGTATGCCAAGAGAGAGGCCTCAAGCTTCCAATCCCGACCAACTTCCTGTGCATGGCTAAGTGGGAAGAAAGTGTGGGTTGCAGGGTGTAGAGCGCAGCTGCTTTCTTTTGGGCAGTCCAGAGCCTCAGATGCACAGCACTTACCCAAAGTCTTTGCTGTCTTCGGCCGGGTTGTTGCTGCAGGTTTTGTCAGAATGCGTGGGTGCCGCAAGGGAGTCTCTCTGCAGGGATCCCCTTATCAGGGAGTCAAGGCAGCCGGGTGCACCGAGTTAAACCAACTGAACATGAATCTTTAGGGAGCAGCCCTCCAGCTGCAGTGGAGCCACTCCTCAAGACACCCCATTTCTCTGTGTCTGGGGGTCTTGTTACAAATGCTCCCCCTCCCCTCCCAGGGTGCTGTCTTTTGCCAAGAGCAGCTGCCGGCTTGAATCCTCTGCTCTCTTTCCTGCT